CACCAGGAACAATACTTTAGACCCTAGTGCCTGAACCCGCTGTCAAACAGCAAAAAATTGAAATCTTTTTCATTTGGTTCACTGGTGTTGCCTCTCCTTTGTAAAGCTGCTGGTTGTTTTTGTGAAGGTGTGTTAGGATGAAGTGTCCACTTGACGTGTATGGTCACCTGTGGGTCAAATAGAGTTGGAGAGCTCATCCCAACCGAGCGCGAAACTTGTTTTTGTGAGGTCAGGATAGGTCAGGCAGGTCACTGCAGCTAGACCGACTAGCGATGCTTATAAGGATGACTCCTGACTTGAGCCGGAGTTTGGTGGTGCTTGACGAGTTGGGAGTCCTAACCAGGACCCACAAGGATCCATAAGGGCGGTTTGAAGTTGGTTTGAGCAGTTTACATGTGGTGAAGGACACCATTTAAGACCCCACTACGCGGTCCTAGGGGGGGGTCTAGAACCTTTGCTGTTGCCTACGTAGGCTCCCTAGGAAAACCATAAAAGACCCCCAGTTTTGGGGTCTACAATGAGGTCCCTGGGGTGGGGGTATTCACATGCCAGGTGCGAGAGCGCATGTGCAAGTGCAGAAGAACATGCCAGAACACATGTCAGCCTAACGGCAGGACAATGGTCCGAAAACTTTCCAGGAAGAATGACAGAACGTGCCAGAAGGCATTCCAGAACGTTCCAGCCTTTAATGTTGGATGAGCCAAAAGACACACCAGAACTCATGCCAGAAAAATTGTCAGAACATTGTATATGCACATGCCAGGCAGTCTTTGTCATGATTGTCAATACATTGTCCTGCCTTAGGGTTTTTTATGGTAGGTGTATATATACATAATATCAATATTGTGTTTTTCTACATTGGCCTTACTGTAGATTCTATAGATGTTACGTTCTTTTTCCTTACTTTGTTTTCTTCCTTTCTGAGAATGTGGAATGAAGTGTTGAGACTGATTAGTTGATTGTCTCATTGCACAATTTGAACCCTGAAAGGGACTACGATCCAGCCTTTTTCAACACCGTGGAGGGAGAGATGTGTTTGGCCACCCGTGATTTCAATCAAGGCTCTACAATTGACAAAGTCAGCGTCGCGAACATCTATTACAGTGAAATTGCAGACTTTTTGAATAAATTGAATTAATTGTTTGTCCTTGTCAGTTTTGTGCTCATTTACATAGCAACGTTCCCAACAAATTCTGATGACGCGGGTTTGTGCCCCTCCAAGGAAACTGGTGGACCGGAACTTATATTCCTTGACGGCTACAACACCTTGACTGACAACTTAACGGCACAATTTCAAGCTGCAGGTGGCACAGTTGTGACGAGTGCCACAGTAACCCAGGTCAACTACTGCATGGGTTTCAGCCAGGGAGGAGAGCGCGCATCCTGCACTGCGACTGTGAAAACTATCCAAACCGGTGGCTCGGCAACGGCTGACTACACGGCCAATGCTGTAGTTGTGGCTGTGCCATTGGGTGTGCTGCAAGCCAATGCAATCACTTTTTCCCCATCTCTTCCTGCCTCATACACTGCTGCCATTGCACGGATGCAGTTTGGTGTTGTGAACAAAGCCGTGGCAGTTTTTGGCACTGACTTTTGGTCTGCCGGATGCAACAACGAACTCATGCTCGCCATCAACAAGCAGAATGCCACCATCGACTCGCGCGGCATGTTCCCATACTTCATGAACACCAATCGCTTGTGGCCAGGGAAGAATGCCTTGACGGGTTTTGCCGTTGGGAGATATGCCATTGCTTCTGAACAGAAGACGGATGCAGAAGTGCAGGCCGATTTCATGTCCAGAATCCGTCAGCAATTTCCAAGTGCTCCCGACCCAACACACTTCATTCGAACAAAGTGGGGCTCTGACCCATTTGCAAGGGGAGGTTATACCACAGATTCAGGCATCAACATGGAAATGAACGAGTTGCGGCTTCTCCGTCAGGCAGTCAGCGCTTCACTCACCTTTGCTGGAGAGCACACCAGCCCTGTGTGGGCGGCCACTGTTCATGGAGCGTATCAGTCAGGCCAACGTGCCGCAAATGACATTATGTCCGGTGCACCATCGACTTCAGAGTCGGCTTCAGCAAGTGTTGACGCCAGACATTCTTGTTTTTTCTTGTTGTTCCTTTTTGCTGCTACCCAGGTACCTTAAGGTATCATGGTAGACCTGCCGCTGGTGACATCATGACATCATGAAGAGTGCGCCATCGGTTTCTGCAACTGCGGAGCTCCTCGCATTCGTTTGATTTTCTTCTTGGTCCTTTTCGCTGCTACCCAGGTACTGTAAGGTATCATGGTAGCAAAGGCCACAAAACCCATCTGCCGGGCCAGAAACTGGCCCGACAGGAACCACGATGGAAAACATATTGAGAGAATGTGACTTCCTTCAGTCGACAGCTCTTGCTTGGTTTCAGGTTGAGTGAATGCTTCATACATATTGTTCTAGCGATTCTAGCTGTTGAAAGGCGAGGACACGAACCCCCGCAAAAAGAACAGCACTACAGACTGCTAGACTGCTATACAGTGGGTGATTTGTTCGTTTGCCTAAGTCGAATTATTGGAATCATGTGGAATCATGAAGTTGGCTTCGTTCTAGCCTGACTTTCTGGAGCAGGCCCATCATTCCAGAACGAGATCCTTACTGTAAGTATTGCTTAGGCTTGGTTAAGAACGTTGGCATCAGAGGTTGCAAAACGATGTGGGAAGCTGCACTTGCAGGATTAGTCACACAGAGACTCATTCACGCATTCAACAGCTTGGATGACGATGCTTGCACCTTGTATGTTAGGTCTGTTAGGTTTGTCATGGATTGTCCATGTTTAAAGTTTATATATATATATATGCATATATATACATAATATATATATATATATGTTAATGTTAGGCTTTTGGCACGTCCAACAGCTGCATGAAGTGTGTATATATATATACAGTATATATGTGTGTAGGCTCACGCCCCAGGAGTTTCAAGTTGTTCATTGATGGATCCAGCAAGCTGTTGGGACGAACTGGCCAGTTCGACTGGAGAGCAGACTGCGGTATATTGATATTGTGATCATATGACTTGGAACAAGAGCTGCAATCCACTAATGTAGACTCTTGATTAGTAAATGCCCCCCATTTCGATTGAAACACCTTTTCACATGGGGGGTTGAAGTATGTTGAAATCGAATCAAGAGTCCATATTAAGTCAGTGCCTGTCCCAGACAAACTGTTGTGCTTTGCTCACGCCTGTCAGGGCATGCAGCGCTTCGTCACGATGGCACGGGGCCTGGGACGATGCCGTCACTTCCAGTCAGTGGACAACCTTTAACCTTGCTTGGGGGTTGGCTTCCCCACTCAAATCCAACAGGTGGATAGTGGTCAACGGTGATTTTTCCAGGGAAACTGAGCAAGTCAGCCTCTCATCCCCACCATGCGGAGGGATTTTGCCGTAGGTCTGTAGGTGCTGCCAAAAGTGAACGGGCCATGCGGAATCTACTTGGAATCTACCGCATTTGAAGTGGGATGGTGAAAGAACAATGAATGCCATATGAGGTCTCTCAATATGTCGATTACCATGGAACTAGGAGGGCGGACTGGACAGCTTAGTTATCCACTTTCGGTCAGCATAAGGTTGAGATATTGAACCATTGCGGCGTATTGTTGATGTCCTGAAAGAAGTTCGGCATACCAAGCTGCTAATTCCCATCACTTTTTGTTCATTGTGGTGTTTGTTGCCATCATTTTCCCTGGTACCTTTGTACCTACCCACCCCCGACCATCCATGCTTTGGGTTTGCTCTTCGTGACATCAAAAGATTGCTTTTCATGTCCATGGACAGAAACTGCAGGAGGTCCTTTTTTCAGTGTTCACCTCAATGTTTGTTGTAACCTGAAAACTGTAGCAAGGCATCAGGGCCTCTCCAAACCACAAAGAACTCTCTGGTGGAACCCTTTCCGTGGAGGGACCCACCTGCTACGACCGATCCCTATGTACACTTGGGGGGCCCAGAGTCTTCAAGCGTTTGGCCGAGTCAGCGGCCGAGTCACGCCATGCTTCGTGCGTTTTTCCAGTGCAGCTTTTGCTTTTACTGAGATGGATCACCATCGAATCAACATATCATGTGGCATAATTATGTGGTTTTACCCAATTGGATATCATTAGATGGTACGGGCTTTGCCTTAATCGTCGACTAGACCTTGGCATGGCTGTATTTACTGGAATTATATACTGTAGTGCACCACCAGCTTAATCTCATCCCGCTGAATCCCGTGCAGTCATAGAGTCATAGACATTTCCTTCCCTATTCGGCAACCTACCCACATCTACAACTTGGTTGTTGGGGTGATGCCCAAACAACCTTATTTGTTCTAAGGGTAGTTGTTTCCTGAAAGTTACAGAAAAAGATGTGCACAGCCTCTGCAAAAAGTGGGGGATAACCGCGCTTCACATGGCTGACTTGCTGTGGTACCTCTTGGCTTTTGCGGTCGTCCTGGGGGCGCGTGGGGATGCAGTGCTCACACGCAATGAGAACGAGGGCTTGCAGGATGGACGGCACCAGCGATTCCCTTGCGTACGTGAGGCGCGGGTGACCAGCAACCTGGAAAGATTCGGACTGTTGAGAAGGAGCAGAGTTGGGAAAGTAGTTTGGGTGGCTTCAGAGTGAGTCCTTGAAAAGTGCTTTGGGTGGCCTCGGTGCGCGTACAATAAGGGCAAGGTAAACCAAAACACTACAAACAACAGTATTTATTTGCAGTACAGTAGATTTGATGGCAGCGGGTTGTTCATGAATGATCTCGAGGGGATGTATATTATACTCCAGGAGGAAAAGCCTTTTCTTCTTTCTGGGTCTATAACATCTAAGGAGTAGCCACGGTCGAATTTAAAATTCTGTTTCGCGTGGCTAGTGTGGGCGGTCAATTATCACCCATTTTTCAAAACACATATAAACAGATTTGGAGGGAGGAAATTTCACCATATGAGGTGACACAAGCGTTTTGCGGGATTCTACGGGAAAGGGTTGTCAATTTGGAACCTTCAAGAGCAAAGCAAATCGTACTTCGGTATACCCACCTGAGAGGGCAATTGCCAGTCGCAATATATATATATATATACTGTATATGTATATGTATTATATATAGATATTGTGTAACTCACCCAAGTTTGCCGGTTTGGTTCCGCTGGTCATCCAGCTGGGCCCTTTGGAACGACTCTTAGGCTGGGATCAGGCAGAAGCCTTCAAGATCAATCATGAGCCCTACACCAACGAGAAGAAGGCACGTTGACTATCCCTCAATTGCCGCCCAAGATGGACCCGGCTACAATCCACTCATTCAAAAGGCTAGCGGCTGTAGAGTCTACGGCGCTACGGTGCCTACTTTTGAATTCAGTTGCCACTTCGCTGTGGGAATCTCAGTGCATGATCGAAGTGTGCAGCAGATTTGTGTCAGAAACCCACATTGAACGGCGGCCCACCATTTTTCGTTTAAATGCTCCATAATGCTCCGCGCCTTTCGATGTCCAGCGGTTCGTCACCCTTCCTTTGACCTTCCCGGCACCATGGTCCGAGTCTTCAGGTCTTCATTCGGAAGGGCGAAGTGGCCCCCCTCACGCAAGTGAGCCTGGCGGAGTTCAAAGCCGAAACCTACTTCGAGGAACATCCACGGAGCGTGGGTCTCGCCGCACCGCCCCACCTAGTGGTTGACTTGGCCCAGCACCAAGAGCGGCACGCGATCCATGGACCCCCCAAACCTCAAGTTTTGTCATTGTTTCTCTCAACAAGTCAAAGCTAAGAGGTTCAAGAGGGTTTTCTTAGCTTTGCTCAGAAAGAGCTTTCGCAGGATCACGACCACGAAGACATGTTCGAGGTTTTCTACGTCCTCAGCGGCGCCGGGCGCTTTGCGATCACCGAACGGGGCAGCGACCGCGAGTGGCGGCGCCGGGAAGTCGCCGCGCCGCTGGGACTGGCCGGAGACACCGTGAAGAAACAAAGCATATGGGGCCAGGATAGACCAAGTTCCAATATTAAGTCAGGAAAGGTATAATAGTAGGTATAATATGTTCTGGTTGTGCTGCTCCAAGAGTTCCATGCCATGTTGGTGGTGAAAGACACTGAATGACACTGATATATATATATATAATATATGTGTGTGTGTGTGTTTCAATCAGATTGTGGTTTTAAGCAGCGGCCCCACCTCCTACCTCAGAAGCTAGTAGGAGCATGTTCGAGCCCCCAGGGTGCTTGGAACAGGATAGCATGGCAGATTACATGAAGGATTAGGTAGGTTATTTCGACCATGACTGGACTAGGAAGCCGGGCCTCTTCTTGCATTTGCCTCCTGGAGTGCAGCACGTGCCCTGGATGGAAAGAATTGTCCTTGAACAGAATCTTGAAACACAGCAGGAAGGCGACAAGAGCGCGATTAACTTTTGAAATCCTCGGTTTAGGAATTGTTCCACGCACCATTTGTGAAGAGAGTTGTGGTTTGTGTCGTCCTCCTTGAGGGACAGCCCAAGGTATACGTTGAACATTTTGAGCTGCCTTTACCCTCCCAAATTTGATTGAAGTTGTGAATTGAAGCATGTTGTTAAAGCAAGCTCTATGCCGTGTACTGTACCTCCAAAAGCCACTACGGGGATCCACAGTTGATCCACTGACCTTGGGAAGGACCAAATTGGGGAAGTTTGCCTTCCAAGACGTGACTAGACCTTAGTCAGAAAGGGACCCTCAAGCAACATAGAGTAGACATGACTATATATACCCTGTAGCATAGAGACAGAGACTAATGACTGTTGACGGTTGACAACCCCCTTCCAGAACGGCTTTAGATCTTGATGCAGTGAGCCGATTAATAGTGCGTCTATTATGTTGAGGGTCCTGCCGCACTCGTACACGGTGGTACAGAGAGAAGAGTGGCAAACGAGAAGTCCGAAAGAAACGCCTTCAATTGTGTCTTTGGTCCTTTTTTTTTCCTCTCGTTCCGTCAGGATGTTCTTATTGTTTGCAATGCCTCACGTGGCGACCCGGCAGCGTGCTGTTCCATGAGGCTGGGCTGACAGACTTGGGATTTCAATTTCTGATGCTGGGCGCAGCTGCAGAGGCGGACTGCAGCAAGACAGCCATCCTGGGCGATGCGAACGGGAGCGCATGCGACCCGGCAGTTTTCCCCAGCGCCGCGAGGGGTTAGGTGATTGTCTCATCATAATCATCGTGCAAATCGTGCTGCGCTACCAAAAAGGAACTATGCAAGCAAAAGGGCAACATACCCTGACATCAATCAGCTCTAGTGTTAAAGGATATTCAAGGTCGTTTAGGCAAGACACCGGCGAAACACGGTCTTCGACGTCTCCACAGACTTGCCGTCCGAACATCGTGGTCGACCACGTCGACGACGAGGCAAGGCCCTCACCAGCTTTCAGGAGCTTCAGGTCGATGAGGCCGGCCGTGCAACACGGGATGCGCTGCACCACTGTTACACCGCAGATAGTTTGAAGAACATCTGGAATCTCACGAGGTGAGGACATTCAGCATATACATCCAGCATACGATATTATTTTGCATAGTTTCTTGGGATTTCCAAAGACTTGTGCTGGGGTATTTGACCCCATCCAGTGCGAATGAGCCATTTGGACCTGGATTTGGGTGGTTGTGGTTGTGGGATTTATGATCCATTGTTCCGTGGTCATGCCACTTCAGGTTGGGGAACGGTGTTGATGCCTTCGTTGCGTGGGAGAAGATGCTGTTGTGATCTATTGTGAACTTGCCCGTTGAGCGAAGAGGGATCGTAGCTCGGTGCCGTTGGACAAATGTTGAACCAGTTTTCGGAGTGCCGAAGTTCCAGGTGAAGAAGTAGCACGCGTAATCCTTGGTTTTCAATGCCCCGCTGCTCCCCTAAAGGTTGTCCCGGTTGCTTTCTTTTGGCAAGCACTCCCAGTAGATCCAATTATGGTACACCTATAGCACTATCGCACTAGGTAAGCTGGAACAATCACTAGGAACTTGGACCTTGTGTAATCCCACTCTGCTAGTTTCGTTTCTTGGATCATCAGTGAATAGCTATCCAGCTATCTGCAGCTGATTCACAGGTTGAAGTTAAAGGACTGAAGAAGAACCCGAAGGTGCAACGCAGGACGCTGCTTCCATCAGGTGTGGTGGAGTGCTCGTGGATTCGACGGGTTTGGTGCGCTTAACCCTGGTTCACCATGTAGCGAACGACTTAGCACATATTGCCAACAAAGAAAAAACTCGTCTAGATAATGCGGCAGACACACATGACGACCCTGATCAGAATTGGGGGACAATTCATCATGTAAGAGCAAACTTTAAAATTTCACTCCCTCAAATTCTGCCCATACCAGATATTCACCTACATGTTTTCACTGCATGTCTATGGGGTGCTGATTATGCCAAATTGGTCCTTCCGCTTTTTTCCGATCCTTGTGTTGGCCTGACCCGGATGGGTCACGTGATGAGACCTATAAATCTGGTATAACGTGGCATGAGTTAGCCATTTCGTTTATCCTCCAGACAGGCTTGCAATTTCCGTGTTGGATCAAGCCACCGAATGGATCCTGTGCCCGTCCATATCACTTTCAAGATCCTAAAGTTCTGGCCCTGCCTACAAAATTGCGATCCCTGAGAGAGCAAGCAGATGCATTGCGAATTATAATTCAATATCTTCAAGGATTCAGTTCGGTGCCACTTTATCCCAAATTTCACAAGACCGCTTCGAGCAGCCTGGTCCAGGTTGGGTGGGGTCGCACTTTTGCTGCCAGGTTTTCTTTACGACCAGAACTTGTTAATTCAGAGGACGTTCAGAAGACCTTGCAACTCTATGCTTCCAATCTTGGCATCAAGCCCCCATATCACCCATTGGGGATGGTGCCTATGAAGTTTTGCAAGATTTTTATTTCAGTAGAGGCTACCGTGAACTTGGATCATTCGCAATGTTATCACTTTCGGAAAAAAACATCGTGATGCATGGAATAAAGGTAAATCACTAGATGCATTGACTTCACCACCTGCTGCGCCAAATTAGATTGTTCATTGCCGACAACACTAGAATTCAGTGCCGTAATTTGACCGTGCCCACAGGATGCTCACTTTCTTTGGCCGTGGAAATTCGGTGTCACGTAGATAATTAGTTCGTTTTCATGTGGTCACTTAATTCATGCGAATCATGAACCATTTGCAGTTGTTTCCATGGTGTACAGGACGTGTTGGATTACATACCCCACTCCCAGATACCCGGTCGAAGGGTCTTGGGAAGCGCCTCAGACCAGAGTCCGCAAGTATCGTTGGTAGGTCACCTAAGGTATCCTGGTTTTGGCCCCACAGCCCACCGCTTAATGAATACGTGATTTGGAAAGTCGCCCGGTGAGGCGATCCCACTGGGTTTCGTCAGATCGGCATTGGTACCCTGGGAGCGTCATGGTCAGACAAGCTAGTGCATGTGGTGGCTGTGCGAGGTGAGGACGGACGCCAGGTGAGGGAGCTGTAAAGAGAACCTTTCAGTCCATCACACACGTCTAGGCGAAAATCACTGGGGCGTTCAACAGCTTCGATCATTGAAACATGGTAATGGGGGAAAGCATGGAAAAAGTACGCTCAAAAAGTTCTCAAAAAGGGCTGCTTGCCACTCTACAGGATGTGTTTTGCCTGTCTATTTTCCCACCCTGTCCCCACTCAGAAGAAGGTGTTTCAATCCGCGAGTGACACGTGTTTGGATCGATGTCGCGCGGGCTGAAAGAGAGCTGCCAGGTGGGATGCCGAAGGTCATGCGCTTTGAACATCTTACTGTGCCCAATGGTGTGAGTTGCTTCGGTCCTAGTGGGGCGGACAGACAGCAAAGGGTGGCCAGCAGTGGCCAACTGCATGCAAGAACCGGATGAACCACTTAAAGCGATTAAAAATGCATTTGTCACTGCGCAAGGTCTATACATGTATACATACGGCCTTGCAGACTGGTTCCAGGGTTCGGGAGGGTTTGAAATCGGGCTCCACCTAGCTCCCCAGAAGGCATTTAGACTCTCCAAAGCTACCCCAAACACATCCACGGACCTTCGATTGCCGGAGGTCCAATTTTGGAGCCCTATGGATGCATTCGACCACCCTCAGCACTTGATTGGCTCAAATCCAATCTTTTGCACATCCGTGGTCATGATGATTTTTTGTTGAGCTGAACATCCCTCCTTCATGTTCACCATGGCGAGCTCGTACGAGTCCGGTGAGTGGGTTGAACGGGTGAAGTACCGTCGATGAGTGAAGAAGTGCCATTTTCCAAGAACTGGTCAGAACAGCAAACACGCCTGGTTTTGCCACAGTGGCAGTGGATACCACGATTTCACGGATGCGATGGAAAAAGAAGGTATCCTCCAAGTGCAGCTGAAACATCCCCAAGCACCAAAGCTCATAGGATGTGGAGCCCGAGACCATGCCTCCTTTGAATTCAGAAGGTGGACCTTCGGAACGGCATGCCATTGTCATTCAGATTCATTCCGCAACCAATGGATTCCTTTGTAAAGCAACTGGATTTGTTTACACTATGCCACTCTATGCCTTTGATTCCAGGGTCCCATGTCAGTTGTTGATATATAGTTCAAGCCGTGAATCGCTTTGAGGCTATGATGCACCCAGAGAAGCTGGCACTCAGGCAGGGCAGCACCCGGGCAAATTCTTGTTTCCAGGGATTCATATCGACAACCTAAGGTGACGGGTCTTCGTCCTTTGTTTGCAAAAGATCACAGTGTATAACATTTTGTGTCATTGACATCCGTTTGTGACTTGTGAGAGAATACTTGCTTTGCATGTGCATGCGCACATCTCCGACAAACCTGCTGTGTTATTTTTCTTCTTGAGTCCATGTTCAATAGAGGAACAAGGAAGTACAAAAAATAGTTGTTGATTCCTTGCTTGGCTTTACCATGCACAGAAGCTTCACGGGTCTCTTTCATGTTTTTTGTCTATAAACTATAAACTGTTGATTTGCCGGCTGCTCTTACCAATGCTCTTACAATACTCCTTCCTCCACCTTACCCCCTCCACCCCCAACCAGTTCCTTCTCACCTGACCTGGAAATCTAGACTCTTGATGATCAACCTGAAGAAAGTTTTACAATGCATGTGTGCGGAGGTTTGAGTCTACATTAACTGATCCACCCCACTTGCCCCCCAAAAGAAAACAATCTGTCTTAGGCATCTCACCTAGCACCATGCCGGGACAGTTCTCCCTGGCATCAGCTTGCTTTTGCTTCGGTCCCACTCATTGCAGTGGATGCACTTCCCCCAAGGTCTTCATCCTCCTCACTGGCTGGGGCGGCATACGCTTGGGCGTGAAGACTGGCCTCTTCGAGCATCACGCCGTGGCGTTGGTGCCACAGGTGGGCGCAGAGCATCCGGTGACCATCACAGCAGCAAGTCCACAGCTGACCATGTTGCTTGGACCTGTGTGGATGATGCAATTGAAAACCATGAAAACCACCAGCTGAGTCTTAAATCCATGGCTCACGTATAATTGCATATAATTGCCATGGATTTGTCAGGGACAGGGTTGCACCCGAAAGGGAATGCTGGTGAGAATCGCATTGCGCGTTTGGTGATTCAAAAATTCCAATGGTTGGCAAAATCAAGGCCAGAAAACCCTGATCTCAACGAAAAACCATATACAGTACAGTAAAACCCAATAGATGCCAGACGCCATATATAGAACAAGCTTAATTTCAAGCCGCACGAAGAACCTTGGTTACGCACTTGACTCAGGTTGCGCTTGGTCGTGGAGCCCTGCCCCATCATTCACGACGAGCTTTAGTTGAGCGGAAAATGACCTACCTACCAGGGCGCGAATGTTGGGGGGTGGAATGTTCCCCATTCGAGCTGGACAAGAGTTCAGTTAATTACCGAATATACCAGCTGGAATATGCTCGAATGTATCCACAGAGAGCTGGATACACATTACTAGCTGGTATATTCCAGCCTAGTATCCAGCCTAGTTGATGTGACAAGAGTTCAGTTACTGTATATACATGGACTTCCGAAGTAGACCCGGGGTTTAACAATCCAGCCGCCAGCCAACGGTTTGTGGCACCCCCGTCTTCCCAATGATAGCTCTATAATCCTGTGTATAATCCCCGTGTGCCAAATGGACCATGCACAAATCCATGGGCTCTAGTAAATTTTGTTATTCCACCTAGTTCACATTTGCAGTAGAATATTATTGACTCAGGTGTGGTCCCCTACAGATTGTACTACACACATGTCCAAACCTCAGGGTAGGGACCGTACAAATCCACAAAGCCCTGGCGGCCCTGGGGGCTGGAGATAAAAGAAAGCTGTCGGATTCACGGCAAGCATTAAACCGTGGGAGAACACTTTAGATCCAGATTCATATCAACCACCTTTGTGGCTAGTATACGCCAACCATTAGGAAAGGTCGGGAGCAGGTGGCCAAATGTTCCTAGATTTGTTGTGTTTTGGATTTGACCAACGTAGAGCTTCTTTGAATATTTGTGTCATCTACACGGAGCTCATGCCAATCCCGAGAGCCAAGGGTCACATTGTGCTGCGTGACGGGGCCGGTTGGGGGCGAGGGGTTGAGATGGCTGCTGAAGGATCACGTAGAGAGAGAGAGAGAGCATGTTGAGAAAAAGCACCACAGGATTGTGAGGTTTATTGGTTGTGTGATTCCGCTTTAATTTCTTGTCGTTTTTCTTGCTGCCAATTGCAAGTCGGATCAATTGACCCAAATTCTAGATCATTGGAATGGCCACTAGGACCTACTCAGGGTAGTGCGGGGCCTTTTTTGGATTGATATGTGCTTCCGTGTTCTGTGCGCTTTGTTCCTTATCACTGAGGTTGGCTTTGAAGGTTCTGACAATGAGTGGCAAACGGAGTATTTGCCGCTTGTCCAAATCAGCTGAACTCTGCTGTTATAGCACACCGCCGTTTCGCAAAGTGCCTCCAGAAATCTTTGCATGTACATGGTGTTGAAAGTTTAGGCCCAGGCCTTGGTGGATGCGCGCGCGTGTGTGTTCTTTGATACCGACGCGGTCTCGGTCTCCAGTCTGCTCCACGTGAGTCAGTCGCACGTCGCCGGGAGTGGGCGGCTTCACATGCGCCTGGCCGACCTTTCTAGCCAGTCCACCATGCCAGGTGCACCAGGAAGGCGAGAAGAAAACACGTGCCACATCCGAATCAATGAGTGCGAAAGGAACATCAGTTAGTGAGACTAAACCTCAATGGAGTGGCTCATGGATGTTCATAGGGAACTTGATGCGGGCTACTTGCTAGACCTCAACATGCCCCAACTGTTTTTTCTTGAATGGCTAAGTTTGTTCGGAATGGCCCAGGGGAGCCATCAAATCGTGAAGATGAGTTTCCAGCCCACGCCGTAGAAAGAATGACGTTGCACTTCCTTGTAACAAGATTGCCTGTGACTTGTATTTGTGCTGTGCGTTGACGATATGTTCCGCAAACTCTTCAACAGTGCAATGAACATGTTTGGTTATTACGGATGTACGTGCTGTACATAGGTTCAACCTAGGCGAGTTCATTCCTCAGAGTGTCCTTGTGGAGCGGCTTTGTGGTAGCCAGACCTTTTGCAGGGAGAAGGGGGGAGAGAGAGTGCTCAGGTCACCCGGGTGTGATGTGAACGCTTTAGTGGATGCGTCATTAGTGGATGTCTCAGGTCCTTATGCAAAGAATGGCCGGGAGCCTTGGGATGTGGGACATGGTGGGACAGCTATAGACAGTACAGTTGTGTGTGGTGTGTATGGCCGTATTGTTGCTCATACTAATATACATGATGTTATATGATATCATGTGTAGTTCGTGAAACACCCACATCCCGCGTCCAAGTCGCCGATGGCTCCCACACAAGTCACTCCATTTGTGGTGGGGATTAGTGGATGAGAGGAAGGGCGGCCAGTGCGGAAGTCATTCTGCGCAGTCCAGGATGCGGACCCCTCTGCTATAGAGGGGTCTATGATTTGAGAGTGTACCACCTGACGCACTTATAGCATTCCATGGGTCGAAGTACCGTCAAATGGATGTATTTTCGCTAACTACTCGCCACTCAACACGCCAGACAGACAGATACAGTAGGTCAGTTGGGAACTGGAGAAACCCATCGATTTGGCTTTCTCGGCTTCCAATCAGACTGACCCCCCACCGACCCAACGGTCGCTTCGTCTCGAGTCTCTCGACTCGCAAACGTGTGGCGCCGGTGGAGCCTTTTGGATTCGGTTTTGCTCTCCATCCAGGCCGGTGGTGAAGCAGTGAGTAAAGACATGTACAGACTGTGTCGCGACCATAGTGATGACCCACCCCCAAACCCTTTCATGGCTGCCATCCTCTCCAAATGTGACACATGTGGCGCCAGGAAAACGGAGCCCAGCAAAGGCTTCAACCAGGCTATGGAAGTTTCGGACGTCAGGGTCAATGAATGGAGTTGTGAGTCATGGCTGTGACATATTTGCTTCAAACAACCTTCACAATCGTCACCTGCTTTCTCCTGGACAAATCTCTTGCACCACCTCAGGTGTGCTTCCGGAAAAAACAACTGTGAACACCGTTTTCTCCTCACGTGTTCTTCTTCGGGTTCCAGGCCTTCATGTGAGATTTGAAGGTGACCGATTGACCTCGCTCAATCACTGTCAATCATCTCAGGCCCTGGAATTACGGAATGTTACGGATGAAACAGTGAAAAACCATGGTTTCCTGTGATTAATATGTGATTAATTTGTTTTACTGAAGCCAATCCATTGACCATCAGCAGTGAATTAGCACTTTTTGTTGGAACAACGCTTCAGGCAGCCTTCAACAAAATGGTGGACGCTGCTTGGTTGCTTTTGCGTTAGACTTTGCAAATGAGACGCTGTGCATCCATGCAAATCCCCAAGAGGTCATGCCTTAGAACCACTGTGCAGTAGTCTACCCGTCCTTCAGTGACAGTCGGCCCGACAGATACTGGTACATATGGTCGTGTATGCCATCTCTATATATATATATATATACACACTCAAATGACAAGTAGAAACACAATGAAAATCATTGTTAATTACCCACTCTAAGAAAAGTAATTGGACATCGTGATTGGTTTGCTTGGTTGCGGTTGCGACACGGGGGCCACTCGATTCGCATCATTTCCAAGGATCAATCTCCGCGAGGTGGGGTCTTCGATCGGCGTGTGCTGGCCATTGACCTTTGGCCATTGTTCCGGGCGATTTTGGTAGACCCTTGATTCATGAAACTCGTGCAGACTGAAATGCAATCAAGAGTCCACATTAAGAGTCGAGTCTCCGTTTCCTTTTGGACAACCTGTGGGAATCTGGGGGCGCTGGGGACCATTGGGTACCATGAAAGATCATGAAGTATAACATTTTGGGGTTCTTGTTGTGACATCGTGGAGCCCCACAAGTTTAAACGCAAAAAACGCTTACAACACGTGTGCAGGTTAATGTGGGTTGCGCATATGGATCATATTGGTTCGCAACGCATTCACAGTCAGTGAACTGATTTGGTTCTACGTCAGGGCTCTACATAGCAGTCAAGGAAACCGGGATTGATGCTAGCAAAACCGGTCTCCTTCTAAAACCCGTGGAAGATTTCCCACATTTGCGGCTGCTGGACACATCCACATGTTCAAGACCGGATTTGAGGTACTCAAGAGCCACCCAAGTGGACCTGGCTTCAAGGGGCCATCCTGCAGCATGCGTTAACCGTTAGATTCAAGGGGCTTTGGGTGCCTACGGCATATTATCCAAACATATCCAACCCGCCACACGTTTCGCCGCGAACCGGCAGTTCTTTGAAACAGGCTGTTATTGCACCAACGAAGAGCTGAAGATCATCTTGGGAAAGATTATGGCGGCCCCAAAGCTGCCCAAGTCCCAAGTGAGGTGGGAAAACTGGCGACAGAGCTGGCGGAGCAGTCAGGGGTAAAGGAGGATGAAGGAAGGCCACTGAACCCTCCAAATTGTGGCAGCATTCTACTGCATGAGCCCCAAAGCATGTATTACCTATGGGTCAATCCCCAAACCATCGGTGGTTGTGATTCGAGCATTTGGCGGGTTGGAGAATGATGCTTGGCTTTGGTGCGCCAAGTGTTTCTACTTCATTTGGGTTTGCATTGCCACTTGCGCGGCAGGAAGCAGTCTTCACCTCCGGCCCCGCCGCCAAAGAAGCAAAAGGTCGAAGTGCAATTTCAGTGATGCGTAGAATGGAGATCCAAGATGCTTTGACCATTCTCCAATGCACACATGGAAGAAGCTCAAAGCAAGACCAAAAACATCCAAAAATTGAGAGACTTTAGCTACCATCAATTTAGCGGTTGCATGAGCAATCAAACATGTGTTTCCCATGGGTTTTTTTTGTCACAGCAACGAACACACAGGACAGCAAAGAATCCTGGACACCACGTCTCACCACTTAATAGTGTACGCGAGGGCCGAGGAAAAAGATGGCGATCTCGAAGAATCGGTCCAAACGTTCCGAATCTTCAGAACTACACTGAGAACGAACATTGGACATATGACATCCCAACTGAACCGTTTGTCTCGTTGGTCCAAAGAGCAAAAACTCATATATGGCTCTGTGTCATGGCGCCAGGAACCGACCAGTTTTTTTTTTTTTTTTTTTTCCGACCTAGTGTTGGTGCTTCGCTGCATGGTAGACTGGTCGGGCTCCAGGTGGGACACCAGGTTTTGACGCATCCATTCAATCCCCGCCGTTGTAGAATTCACCTGTATTGTGGTTTCATCTATACTGTAATTTGGAGATCTTGAACACGCCGTGTTGTGTGTTGCCTTTCAACGTTCAGTCACATGATTTCAATTTTGCACGTTGGAACTGCACGTGCACATCTGGGTGTTTGTGCAAGGGGGGGCAGGTCGGTCAGAAATTGCGCATGCAGAGTTTGGCTCGTTTTTTTGGCTCACAGCCTTTACAGCATACTTTTCGTGGACTATGACGCGCATCATTTTTTTTGTTGATTGTTTTTTTTTTTTTTGCGTTGTGTGAGCTGCGTGAACAACGACATCAGTTGTGTCAGCTTTCAACCCAAGAACCGTTGAACACTGCATTTGCTTTGGGCACGATGTTTGCCATGCAGTTGAGGCTGTTTTGCCGAATCGGCCGGCCGTCAGACAAAGCTCGTATTTTGATGTATTTTGTGTATGTTTTTCTACGAGCAGTCGGGGGCAGTTAGTTCAAAAACATCCAAAACAAATATGTTGCCGTCCACGCCACCCCGCTTCAACCTTCTAGCGGCCCAGTGGAAACAGAATGCGAAGCATCAACCAACCGAAAATTCATGTTGGTTCCTGCTGTCGCAGTTTGGGATGATTCAACCTCAAAAACATCCGCAGTCCCAGCTGAACCGTCCCGTTGGTCCAAAGAGAGAACAACTCACATGGTTGTAGGTCATGGCACCAGGAAACCGACCGGTTTTTTTCCCACCTGGTGTTGGTCCTTCGCTGCATGGTGGGTTGGTCGGGCGGTTTTGACCCATCCCCATTTTACAATTCACCTGTATTGTGGGTTCATCTATACTGTAATTTGGAGATCTTGAATCTTGAACACATTTGAACACGACGTATTGACTAGTGTTGTGTTGCCTTTCCCCTTTGGCACCCAGAGAGACCGGTCCCATCGAGGTTCCGCTTCATGGAAAACACCCCCACAACCGTGGCGGGGATCGAGCGTGTTCCGAGGCGGAGGACGGTTTGGATAACATGTATGTATCAAAATAGTATAGTATGTATATATACATCTATAGCAGTTATCCAAACCTTGTAACATGTATACTGTATAAACGTCATGACTTATAACATGTATAAACGTTCACGTTTTCCATGTATACTGTATACTGTATATATATAATAGATAGAGCTAAAGGTCCACAGTATTTGTAATATACATTGTATACTTTATGTCTCACATGCTTAGTACCATGATTTACTCATGGTACTTCCATACTGATTTATACTGGTCAAGAACAGATACACTGGCAGTATACAACTGTTCTATCCTGCCGTATCCCATCACACCAACTATCACCCGTGATGCCTAACTGCCCGCCGTTCCTCGTTCGTTCCGGTGGTGCCTCGACACAGGTGGACGACGTTGGTCGAGTGAGCCATGCTGATTGGCCCATGTGCTGAAGCAATAGGTCAGCGCAATGTGGTTCCTGGTGGGTTCGTTTCACACAGGGCGGTGTGTGTGTGTGTGTGTGTGTTTTTATTTTTTTGCCGGGGCCAGTGATGGAAGAGATCGTCACAACAACTGGCAATGCACAAAAGGTTTCAGGGAACCATGGGATACCCTCTTTTTCATGGTGCCTGCGGTTTGTTTTTCACTTAAAATTGGTTGGGCTTCACAAGGTAATCAACCTGTACTGAACAGAATTTATGAGAGCAATGAACTTGGTTTGGATTCTGGATTCTCAAAGCAATTAGGCCTGAAATGCAGGGATGGGGACGGTGTCAGCTTTGAATTGTCCAATGTTTGCTTTGGAGGCCCTTGCCATTGTTAAAGAAATGTTAAAGAAGCCCACTGAACAGCTATTCAACGAAGCAATGATCAATTCACGCGGTTTGCTATTCCAGCCTCCCAGCCACACCTGTTTGCGAGATGTAGGGGAACTGTTTCCCAGCTTGACATGTTAATCACAAGGAACATGATCTCTCTAGAAAATCCCGCGGATTTTTGAATGCCCATGGAACCCTAGACTAGCTTAAACTAGCTTTAAACATTATTAAACTGTATCATGCTGATGTTGAACAACTACCACCCAAAATATATTATATAGAAATTCTATAGAAAGCATTGCATAAGTGACATCCAAACATCATGCCCACCACCTGGTTCGGATCTGAGTTTGGATCCATGACCCTCCCTGAGTGTGGTCCTTCTCCACCGCCACAGGTGCCTCACTCTGCTGGGCAGTCGGTTTGACCCTCCTGGCACGGCCACGGCACCCCGGCGACCACACCGACCATGCTGAGGGGCTGGGAGCGCCTGGAGACTCAGCGACAGATGCATCGAGGACGGACCAACTGCAGACCTGAGGCCATCAAGAAGGTGGTGTTGTTGATACGTTTTTGGAGAGCATGGACCATCCGGAAGACGGGGTCGTTTGAGGCATTTCTTCAGATTGATGTTGATTTGCTGTTCTCATTCCATTCAGTGAATGCATGGACAGTGTATGTGTGTTTGCCCCATTTGTTTGTTGGATGATGGGCCAGAGACCAGATGGGCACCCAGAAGGAGTCTTGATGAGTCTTGGGTCGGCGACCGGAACTGACCGGAACGCTCGAATCTGTGGGTCGGAACGTTCCGGATTCCACTGAGGCCAGAGGGCACCTCCCGGTAGCCCGGCAAAAGAACGTGGAGGAAAAGAGGCAAACGCTTCACATCGAGGATCATATTTGTTCAGATGGCATTTGGAGGTGGGTCCAAATCTGGACCAAAGCCAGGTTGACCGAACACCGGTATTATTTCATTGATATTTGCATGTAATAATTATAATGGTGGTGAGTTTGATGTGTGTTTTGAGCCCAAACGCCCCAGATCCGATCCAGGCAATCGGCCATGTTCGGTCGAATTGGTTTCATCGGTGTCGATCGTTCCGAACGATCGGAAGACAGTGACAGATCTTGGGCGCAAAAGCAAATGGCTAGGGACACAGGAGTCATTGCCGGTGGCTGGGATGTTTCATGCTCCAGAGAGCACCCCCTTTGCGACATCCACGGTGCGATGTCGCATGCTAAAAGGAGAGAGGTCGCACGCCTGAAGCTTCGGTCCTAAGCCTGAAGCTTCGGTCCACTTCGGTCGACTAGAGTGAAGAAAACATGTCATGTTCTTGGTTACCACTTCAACAGAACTTGGCTTTCAAGGGCAAGAAAGATGACAAATTTGGGTCCTTCGACCTTGTGGGGAGTGTCAACGCACAGTGTCATGGAGAGTAGAATTCCGAGTGAATGAGAGTAGGCATGATTGGTTGGAGTGTTTCTTACACGGTAACAGTCCAATAAGTATCCTCAATTCTGGTGGCCCTTTGTTCAGTCTATACCGAATGCTACAAGGTGGGATGACCCTGATGGGCCTCAGAAAAAATGCAACATTCCTCAAAACCTGATAGGTAAATATCCCATCAATGTGGTTCACCGGTTCGCGTTTGGGGCCAAACCTAATGTCGAATCCCATGTTCCAAGGTTGTCCTTTTATGGAGGAGCTTTGGTGCGGGCGCTGAGCATGAGGATTTTTGTAGGAAGTGACATGTGTTGGCCCCACCTGGGATGTCATTCGACAAAGTGCAAGAGTTGTTCCTTCAGGTCTGCCGAAAAAAAAAAAAAAACGGCGCGTGCGTGGACTGTGTTTCTCTCAAATCCACCTCGACAGGTCTTTGTTGTCGGTTATGCCTTCAGTGTCTCCTCGGCCCTGAAGCTCAGCGGCTCCAGAGCGAGCCAGCAGTGGTGTTCGGCAAAGGACGCTCCGGCGTGATTTTCGGTCTGAAGTGTTGTAAGCCTTTTGTTTCAGCCTCAAAAAAGCTCTGAAGTGTTTTTCTCTAAATGGTGAAACTTATATGATACAATATCTATAATATTTGGAATTCATTTACCATGTATTACTACGATCTTGACGTGGAAGAATCGTTTGTCCGTCGATGGCATGGACCCGACGAGCTGCCGACGTGGAACGAAGAGTCCGCAGCGCTCACCTTCGGAAGGGAGGTGGAAGAGAACGAGCTCGGATGGAAAAGCATATGCCATATGGTGCCGCAGATGGAATAAATGCCTACCGACGATCTGGTCAATATGCAAGTCCCATGCCAGTGTCGTGTTTGGGTGCAGGTTTCTTCCGCGGGTTTTCCCGGAGTGGTTCAGGTTCTTTTGTTGCAAAAGGATTCACTCAAGGATCCCTACAGTGATAGACATGAAACTATGGATTCTCGCTTTACTGCAGCTGCAACTCGAGATGTCAGGAGATTATAGGAGGTTTGCGCTGCAGCTCCTCACCTACCCCCAACCAATTGCCTCCAACCAACCTTTTTGGAGTTTTGGAGTGCCACAGTGTCCGACAAAAGCCAGAGTGCCCTGAAATCAGGATGAGGGAAATGATATAAAATGATCCTTCCCACGCATTTCTTCCCAAAACGGCTTGTGAGTGAGTCAACTGGAAGGGTTCGTTCATAGTTTGTTTCAGATCCATAACCCTTCGGCGCCCAGGCCTTGTCTCCAACACCCTCGCGGAACTTGGCGATGGCGGCATTGAGCGCCTCTTTTCCCTTCAGTCAGGGGAACCCGAGACGCGTGGCTTCGCACCGGCGCCTGCGTGCAACGTGTCGTGTGTGTGTGTGGAGGATGTTGTGCCTGAGTTCTAGACAGTTCCAGGGGGTTCAAGATCAGTTTGGAGGTATTGTGATCTCTTAAAACTATCTTTCACAAGATGTGTGGTTTAGCCAGGCTCAGGGTATGTTTGTCCTTCTCCACCCACCAATGATCTTTAATACATACTCTCCAAGCGCTTGGTCAGAAATGCTGGGGATGGGTGTTTTTCGAAGGTCTTTTCGCAGCAACTGAACGAGGCGAACTCCGTGTGCCAAGCGCACGCCACAGAAGTAAACCGATGACAATTGGGCGATTTGCCGAAGAAGGCGACGTGTGAAGTCGGATTCACCCAAACGATTGCACCGGCTCCCCTTGAGAAGGTCACATAGGTCACGTCGTTTGAAGCGTGTTTCTTGGGCTGTCTGAAGTGGGACTTTAGCACGCCCACCAGGCCTGCTTGCGCAAGCTTGGTGCGCCCGCAAGATGGGTTGCTGGAGGAGGGCGGTGGAACTTGTTTGGTATATTGTTTTTGTTGGTTTCATTTATATATAATATAATATATTATATATATATATGTGTGTTTGTTGAGTATGATGAGATACCAGGAAGTGTTACTATACTACATCAGATCTCGGGAAGCGTTCTCTTCTTCCGAGGAAGGACCGAACACCCATCGTGACACTGGTTTTTTTTTCCGGCCACGTGGCGCCGGGTCAGGTGGAGCAGAAAGGACATGCATGTGTCATGCATATGTGACTAATTATTCTCTATGGTTGATACTTGTTCTTCTTCCCCAAACTCATTTCAACAGTTCTTCTATGTTGGTCGCCCTACTCGACCTCTCCGGCTGCAATCTAGCTTATATACCTCTCCGGGTGGAGTGTTCACTTGTTGTCCCTCAGACACATCTTTGGGTTTCTGCTTGATTCTTCTATGCGCTGCAATCCAATAGGATCCATGCGATGTCCCTACAGGTAGCTCGACCCTTCGAACTCACCCTCACCTTCTCAGGAAGCAACTGGATGAGTTATATAAACCATGTTCAACATCAACCCCACAGGTCAAACAAGTAGAGATAGATGTGGAAAACCAAGGGTCACCCACCAAGCACCCCAGAATCTATGGGAACGCTTGATATCCACATCCATCCATATCCATCCCCAAGCCGATCCGTCTTTGCGCACCTGGCACCTGGCACTGCCGGTGTGGTGTGGCTCCGCTCAGCCAGTGCGCTCTCCGCGCTCTCCGGTCAGGCTCTTTCGGTGGCCCAGCGCCACTGAGGCGATGTTCGCTGGCTTTTAAGGAAGGGTGTCTTACCAGGAAGGAAGTGTGTCACACTGTTTTTTTTTAGTGTGGAAGAGTTTTCTTTTTTTTCCGGGGCATCTTTGTTCATCGTGTCATGATCGAATCACGTACCGTCAAAAAGGGGCCAATTCGGGGGGGGCCCGTTCCCGCGGATCGCCAAGCCGAGCCCAATGGTCTCTGAGTGAAAAACGCTGCAGCCAGTTCAGCCAGTAGAATGGTGCCCTTAACTTAACTAGTCTAGACAAGCAGAATTTGGGATTTGGGGAGTGTTTGCTTTTCACGTTCCGTTAGAAGTAGCTCCAAAATTCGGGGTGTTTGCTTTTCACGTTCCGTTACGTGTTGGATGAACATCATGTGAACATAAGGATGACCCCAATGCTGAAAAGGAGGTGCTCAAAAAAAGAGCTCCAAGGCTATTCTGCATGTCTTTCTGTACTGCTGAGGGAACGTTGCCAGGCTGGCAGCTACTTGCTGAGCTTTCTAGGCTGGGTTGACCAGACGCGCAACACAGACGACGGGGCGGATTTGGAGGCATCCTTAGGTCCTTGTTGGTGCGTATGGTTTGGCTGGGTGATTTGAGAGTCGATGAGTATGTCTTAGACGTACACTCCGACAAACACATCACATGGAAAAGTGGATGGCACCCCCGTGTTCATAAAGGAAAGCAGTCTTCCAAGGGACCATGTCATCCACTTCCATGTTAGAGAGTCGGAGCGTACGAACGGATCTCTTTAAAGGAGATCAGTTGAGACCTCAGTTGGTACTCTGATTCAATGTTCACATTCATCGGGCTTCAGTCAGGCCGCCCAGGGCGGCCATGTGTCGTGGGAAAACAAATGAGCTCCAGGACTCTAGATCTGTGGACCCACTCACAATCTTATGCTTGGCCTGAAACTCCTGGGAGGCTGGAAGGAGAGGTGCAGTCGCATGAATCTTATTTGACAACAAGTTGTGTTTTTCTTGACCCCCAACCATTTTGTTGACTCCCAACGCCTCTTTGGAAAACCACCGTTTTTGACACGACACGGAAAGCCCTTTTTTGACCAGCAAGCCGCTTGTTTTAACATTCGTTTTTCCCCTACTGCATTTGCTTTTTGTTTTTGCTTCTGCTTCTGCTGTTGCTTTTCGCTTTTGCTTTCGCTTTTGCTTTTGCTTTTTGCTTTTGGCCTTTGCTTCTGCATTTGCTTTGCTTTTTGCTTTTCCTTTTGCTTTTGCTTTTTGCTTCTGCCTTTGCTTTTGCTTTTGCTTCTGCTGACTGTCTTCTTTGCATTGACACTGCCACAAAGTTGGATGATAAGACCTTCACCTTGAGCTTTGACACCCAATTACACCAATCAAGAAACGAAGCAGCCCAGCGCTGTCTATATTTGATTTGCATTGCGGGGGAGGCGCTGCGCCCTCCCCCGCACCCACTCCGCTTTTATCTTTTATAGTTGCCACTACCGTCCACCACCCCTACTATTTCCAATACCTCTATCACTCGGACCACCCCGCTACGAGTCTTACCACAGTTACCACAACTACTATGTTCTTTGCGTTGACGCTGCCACAAAGGTGGATTTCTACTTTGCTTAGCCCAAAGAAACCCGAAGCCACTGAAACCCAAAGACAACCGCAGAAAAGTCCCTGCCCTATTAAAATTCCTCTCTCCTCCTACTTCTCCTTCGTTAAGTGGGATGTCTTTTTCCGGGAGAACGCCTAAAGAAACCCTAAAGACAAGAAACCGAGCCGAAAGAAACCCGAAGCCAGTGAAGCTAAAGACAACCGCAAAGAAGTCCCTAGTAAGTGGAATACCTTTTCTGTTCCCTCCCTTTGTCACTGTCACGCTGGCTTTGGTGCTTCATCCCCTGCCCTTTCTGCTGCTCCTAGTGCTTGTAAAGCACTGCCAGCAGAAGCAAACGCAAAAAACAGTAGGGTAAATTTGTGAAAAAAACGTGAAACATTTCCAGAAAAATATGAAAAAGGCCCGTAAAAAATATCAATCCCTTTTTGGTAGCTTGGGAGGGCAGGTGAGGTTGTAAAGCTTGATGAGGAAGTAGAGTGGCAAGGAGTTTTTTAAAAAGCAACAAAAGACAAGAAACACAAGCCTCTTCTGGCAATGGTAGCAGAGGACGATGACCCAGAGGAAGGAGGTGTGGGGCACAAGCGATAGAAGATAGTATCGAAGATTATCGAAGATGGTTTGATTCATTGCTGCCGATTCCTGGTGACCCAGGTATGGAGTGCATGAAGTTGATGCAAGCCTGCATGCAGTTCAGAGCACGTCATTGCTTTGAGCACCTTTGGCAAACAGAGTGCGTGTGTGTGTGTGTGTGTGTGTTTGCATGGAAAGTGGCAGTGGCAGGTCACTACCAGATGTCAGTTGGACGCTTCTGGCTTTTGACGGGCTCTTCTTTGCCACATGACATTTGCGGAAGAATAAGGGGAAAGAAAGCAAGCAAGTGGATTTTGCTTGGGTGAGCATAAGCAAGCACATGGTCTTGCTTGGGTGAAAGGATACATTACAGAAGGTTGTTCGGTTTGGCGCAGCTAGAGCAAAAGAGGCCGGCTAGAGTCGTGGTGGCATCATGTTCACCTTGCAGTATAGCAGAGACGCCAACAATGCATCCTGTGAAGACTGAAAGTAGCACGCTTATTCAAACCATTCTTAATTGTTGTGCATGTTGCTGCATTCGTGGCACGGGTGGAAGGCACAGTTGAGAAAGAAAGAGAGGGACCGTGAGGTTGTAAAGATAGATGAGAAAAGACTACCAGATGGCTTTTGGACGCTTCTGGCTTTTGAAGTGTTCTCCGTTGGCAGACGAGCTTTGGTAGCAGACCTTTTATGAGCAATTCGGCACAAAAAAATCATTCGCCATCCAAGGTAGCAAAACTTCCGTTAGCCAGCCGAGGGCAACATTTAGAGGAGGAGGGAACAATTCTAAGGTAGCAGACGTTTTGTGAGCCACCCAAGAGTAAAATGTAGAAGAGAGAGGAGCTATTGCAATGTAGCGGACTTTTTGTAAGCTACCCGAGTGTCAAACTCAATGTAGCTGACATCATATACAACCGAGCCGGGGACAAAATTTAGAGGAGGAAGAAACCATTGGAAGGTAACGTACCTTGTGTAAGCCACCCAAGTTTATAATTTAGACGGTGCAGGGACCAGCCCAAGGTTGCAGTGCTTTTCTGAGCCAGCCAACATTTGTTGCAGGGGCCACATGAACAAGAGCTGGCCACGCATTGCGGTCTTGCAGCTGTCCAGACAACTGGTAGAGCTGATCCCTTTGAGAACTCATTTGAACAACTTGGACTATCAACCCCTGCAAACATAATTACGTTCCTGTGCTTTGGCATAGCAAACCGCACACACCCAAACTCCAAAGCGCGCACGGCCACACTTCTGGCAGCAGCCGCAGCGGCGCCAGCGCCCAGATGCCAAAGCGCACACAGGCACCTTTTCCCAAACTCGAAGTACGGATCCCAATAGCTCGAGATATCTGAAGAACTAAATCAGGCGGAAACATTAATATATTGTGTGTTACAGTCATGTATCCTCATATACATACTTGGTGGTCGCCCTCCGGCACGGCCACAGCATGACCTCCAAACCGGATAGGCGCTGCGGAATACAAACAGGGCACTAGAAGTCTCAGCACGAGATGCAATTGCTGCAAAACTCAATGAACAGAGTACGGTCAGCACAAGTGAAATGGTCTCGTGTTTGCACGAACTCTGCACACAGGGCATGAAAACTCAGTTTTTGCACGCTTGAAGGCAGGCCTTGCAAGGCGGGAAACCAATCGGTGCCATACATTCAATCAAGTTCACAAGCAGCAAAAGTGGCAACCATTTATTCCACACACTCTTTGCAAACGCTGTTCAGGCACGTTTCGCAAGAAAAACAACCCATGCACACAACACGTTACAGCATCGTTTTGTTTCCCACGGCACCTTCATGGTCAAAAAAGGCGGGTGTAAAATGGTTTGAATATATAACTAAAAGGTTTCGAGTGGTCAAAAAACTGGGCATTGGGTTTTAAACTTAAAGAAAGGACGGTAATGCAAAAAAGAAAGGTTGTTGTGAAAACAAGGCTGGTGCTCAAAAAAACCGGGACGGTTGTCAAAAAAAAGGTCGGGGGTCAAAAAATAGACTTGTGGTTAAACAAAAGGGGCTGGTGTCACAAAAAATATTGGGTAAAAAAGAATACGGGGTCAAAAAGAGGGATTGTGGTTCAAAAAAATAGTGGGCCAAAAGAATCCCCTTATATAATTGATTAATGTTTCAGGATGTTTAAAGTTTAGCAGCTAAAGACAGTTGGTTGTTCTTGTGTTTCCTGGTGTATGACGGAGGCGCCACTGCCATGCAGCTGGCAGCGCCCTGGCCCAGCAAGGCTCGAGCGATTGCGGGATCCAATCCTTGCATCTCCTCGACTGTTGATTAAAACTAAAAGAAACATCCGAAGAATGTTTTTTCAATCCACATGGGGATTATTGTTCTATGCATCTCCTTGACTGTTGATTAAAACTAAAAGATACATCCAAAGAATGTTTTTTCAATCCACATGGGGATTATTGTTCTATCCATCCACCGTCTCACATCAAGCTGAAGGTCTGATCTTTCATGTGGACGAAGTCGAATCCAACTGCCCGATGGATCACACGTAGCCTCTCGTTGAGCCAAGGGAAACAAGACATGCAAGGCCAGTCCTGCTCAGAAGTAAAGCAAGAAAAGTGAAAGTTTTGAAGGACAAATAGGGCAGGCAAGTTTGTTGTGTTGCATTGCTGCACCACCTTGCACCGTTGGTGGCGCCATAGTTTACAAAGGTCTCCATTGGAACTGTTCGAACCTTGGAATTATGCACAAGTAGTCAAACTGAACAGGGATCCAACAAATTGCAAAAACAATATGACCGATCACCAAGTCAAACATCCTACAAGTAGCATCTAATGAACCAGATGCACCTCCAAAATCTACCTCTCCGCTGAGAAACAAAAACAGGTTTTAAACATATGTTACGGATCTGAAGAAGCTCCTGGCGGATGGGGTTGTATGCTCAAGATTTCGACAGACTCTTGAGTGAAGAGATGGGGAGCTACAGGATTACATGTTTGTCAGAGAACTGCCAAGTGGGTCATTTTGGAGTCTCGTGGGGCTTGTTTGGGAGGCACTACAACGTGCATGCGTGTGAGAACGGTCGATTTTTTGAAGTCACAAGTTGCTTCAGAAACCTTTGAATCCCGATGGGAGAGGTGCAGACACTGTCCATCAACTCTATTTTGCAGCAGTACTGGGATTTTTGGAAGTTGTGCGACTGTTGCTGGATGGCGGAGCTAACAAGCATGCAGCAATTGCAGAAAGGGCTGAGTGTGGATGTCGTCCCCGAGTGGGTCAGGCCACCTGGCAGGCCCAGAGCAACGCCCGTACGCGGTATCCTAGGTACTTGTAGTATCCCATAGTATCTAGCGATCCTTCCATAGTATTCCTACTCCAGGAGCTGAGTAACCATCGTGCCACATAATATACATATAAACACATATATATTTACCCAGGAATTCTCGGACCTAGAGGTCAGGAAGTTCCCCTGTCAACACCAGTCAACACCGGTTGTTGGAGTAGAGGGATGTGGAGGGCGGAGTCCACAAATGCTTCTTTTGCCAAGCAGGTTCATTGTCCGTGCAGAAAAAAGCGATTCCAAAGGGTTTCAGGGTTGTTACACTGCATGACACAATCAGGCTATTGAAACATGGTTCACTGGTCATTCAACCACAACCTGGTCATACCAGAACCTGGTCATTCAACCAGAACCTGGTCATTCTGCATTCTGGTTCTGGTTCATGAAACAAACAATTCATTCAACCGGACCCAACGAAACGAACGCCGACCTCGCCGGTCTTCCGACGCTTTCAGGGGCCCTCCGAGGGCCTCGACGGCCTACGGCGCCTGGAGGGCTTCGGTCAATGTCCTGCAGCGGCGCTGGGGGTCGGACAGCCCGGTGGGAGGAAACAATTGGGAGATGTTGGGATGATTTCTGTTGGGATCTCGGACTGAGTATGTTGAGATGTCATTTGTTTTGTGACTGAGTATTTCGGACTCTTGAGAAGCTCCTAGTGACAAACCAGCCAACCCTGAACACCCAGCTGGGGGTCTTGGGATCTTTTGGTAGTCTGGTTGGTAGGTTGGTATGTTGGTTGGTTGGTTGGTTGGTTGGTTGAGTTGGTTGGAGTTGTTGAGTTGAGGTGTGCGTTTTATTTCGGCATTGTTTGGTTTGATTGGTTCGTTGCATCCAGGACCTGTTTGGTGGGAATTTTGGATTGATCGCTTGGTGGTGCTGGCTGGTTTGGCCCAAGTTCCTTCAACCTCAGGATGTGCGTTGATTCCATCGCACAAGGAACTGATGGAATGGTTCTGGTGTGAGTTGGACGTGAGTTGCCAACCTTCTCCGAAGACCATGTGGCCCAGTTTGGCACAGTTTGATTGCTTTGTAACGAACGACTGAGGCCTACTTGCTGGCTTGCCTCATGTGCTTATTTGCTCAGCCCTCAGTGATCGAGTGACCCGAGCCAGAACCTGTGCTCAGCCGCACCATGACGCTTAAGGAAACTGAATCGCGGTTTCTGAGCTGTGCAGTTGTGAGAGCATATTGGGCAACAACATGTAAAATAACAAAATAAACATACATATAAATTATAACAATATATAACAATATATATATATATATATTAATCTATATATATATATATACAGTATATGTATTAGTCTACTGCTTTGAGACATCCATTTAAGCTTTGAGAGTAAAGTAGTTATCGATTAGCAGTTAGCAAACCAGTTCTCCTGCCGATGTGGGAGGCGTTTTTTTTGAGCCTAGCAGCCTGACCATATTTTGTTCTATCACAGAAGCTCTCCTTCGGCACAAAGCCGTGTCTCTCCCGCTGAAAGCGCTCGCTCGGCTCGCGTCGTCAAGCCTTCTTTCCAGCCGAGGCCGGGATGGCGCTGGTCTCGGTGAGCGTTTGGCCCGAGACATAGTCTTTGGCGGGTTGGAACTGCATAATGCACTGACCTGGTGAGCCCGTGCAGCTGTGTTTTCCTTTTGGAATATGTCCCTTTCTAACGACTATGGGAGAAAAAGGAAGGGAACACATGTCAACAGGTGCCCAACAGGTGGAGTTTTGTGCCCAATAGGTGAGGGATTCGACTGCGGGGGCATTTATGTTCGTTTAATCAGACGGTGGACATTGGATGGACTTATGGACTTGTCAAAAGATGCCTTTCATAACTATTCATGTAAACTCTTCAAAAGGATCTATAGAGACTTTTTGGGGGTGGTCACTACGAAATGTGTGTTTTATGTTTTTTTTTGTGTTTAACTGTTTGCTACCTTTTGTTGCTAAATGACCGAACCGTTTCTCGCTACCGTAAGGACCACCCCATGTTTGTCCCGGTCAAAAAGACGCACTAAGCGGCGCACTGAAGTATCGTCCGCTGGTTTTTGGCGCTTCAGGGATGCGAGCCCGGAGAAGCCTTTCGCTGGGGGTCTCGAGCGATTTGGGAAGTTT